CACACACACACTCACGCACATGCACACACACACATGCACACATACTCACACGCACACACACAAATACACCCACACACACACACTCCCACACACCCACACACACACACACACACACACACACACACACACGGGCCACTCCATTTGCTTATTCAGAGTTCAAGTTTATTTTCCCGAGCGTTCGGAGTAACAGAGCCGGCCTTGATTTATATCAAATTTGTTAAATTTAAATTCACCACAAGAAGTTCAACATTTTGTGTCTGAATTTATTATGCTCTCTGAATACACTGTATAGTAGCCTACTGTGAATCTGTATCATACAAAGCAGCTTTAAAGAAAAATACTATTTCCTAATCATTTTTTTTTTACTTCAACAGAATTCGTCCAAGGAAACACTTCGTGAAATTTTCACAAAAAACAGCAAAGCTCAAATTGATGCAACAGCAAAGGCTCATCAAAAGGTAACTTAAGGCACCATTTTAAAAAGGAATATTATAGGTTTAGTAAATCCATGTATTGTAAAAGTGTCACCTTTAAGATTCAGATATGCTAATGGACTGGTGAGCTGATATATTACATGATAAAGCAATGTCTTAGCAAAAGAATTAGAGACCCTTACATAATTCCTTCCTGATGTTGGCTATCTTTGAGCTACACCAAACTTGCTTTGCCCTTAGTGACCTGCAAAGAAAAGTGCTAATTTCTTGATTTTTTAAGGATTTTTTGTATTTCATATGTGTGTTGTGAGCTACTCTTCAGTTCAAATTCATGCAGTATGTATGATCATGTTCACTTTTTTTCTCGTTCCACAAGAAAAGAAAGAAAAATTATGAAAATCTGATTTCTGAAACCCCTGAATATTTTTAGTCTAAATGATAGTTGTTTCATGTTGTGTCCAATCCACCTTTCCTTTAAAGCTTTACAACAAAGACATATCTGAGTCTATCAAGAAGGCATCATCTGGTGACTCTGAAGAAGCCTACCTGGCAGTCGGTGAGTTCCGTGTGTTGTGTAATGAATTTTTGAGAGAAGGAAAAGCTGCCTGAATATGATTTGGAGTTTTTATCATTTGAAAGTAACTGTCAACTGATTTTTATTTAGGACCAAATTTTTCTGATTTTAGACTAAACAAAACCTTTTTTTATATCCCCAATAAAAAGAAAATGGTTCTGATAGAAAAATATAGCCTATTATTTCTCATTAAATTTACAATTTGGCATAAGTTTATGTCTTTTCTTGCCATTTTCATGTGTTAAGTTAAGTTAAGCCTACATTATGTAAACTGTGCAATTCTTTTAGGCAAATGAAGAAGTTATACTAAGATTTTCTGTTAGAAACTAAGAATACAAAATTATTGCAGCATGATGTGCTCTCACATTCCTGCCACACTGTTACACTTAGTACTAAATGATTATGTTCTTCTGTTTTTAGTTCCTAACCTCAAGTAACATTCAAGCAACAATTTGCCTAATGAGTCCATCTATTGTGTTTTTGGTATTTGAAACTTCTTTATGTTATTGAATTTATTCACTTTTCAGTGAAATCTCAGGATGACAAGGTTACCTTCTACACAGAAAGACTAAACAGTTCAGTCAAAGGCTTGGGCACAAATGAGAAACAGCTGACCAGAATCATTGTGTCTACGTCAGAGGTTTGCCATTCTTTGTGCTATGCTGTACATGCTATATACAGTATTTCAAATACCCTCCTCAGGCTATTTTGTTCAACATCTTATGTGTATAGAATGCAAGAGGTTTTGTCTATACTGCACATTTTTCGGAGGAGTGCAATTCATTTATCTATGAATTATTCTTTGCATTGAAGGTAGCTTTTTTATTTTAAACCAAACAATCAAGGAGAAGCTTAGAGCTCTTATGGTCTTAGAGGTATGGTGTTTGTCTCTCAGTCAAAAGACCCCTGAATCGAAACCTGCTAGAAAGAAAAATATATTTTTCTCTAAAATTGTCTTCCTTGTCCTGCTTCCTGTTTCTCTAGTACTGTTCTGCCATCAACTCTCCTCTCCTCTCTTTCACCCCTCCCCTAGCTCTCTATCTGTTTCTCTCTTTCTTACTCCTGACTCTTTCTAGTGCTACGCCTAGTTCATTCTTACTGCTACCTTTCAGCCCCATGCCTGATCATAAACTAGACTAGACACTTAGCCTTCTCAGGTATGGATGAAAAACCTCGGAAGTCCGCATGCAAGTTGTGTACATTAGAGATCCCATTAAGGTCCCAAAATCAATATAAGAGTAGGCTTCAACTGCCACCTGGGCAAAATTCAAAATCAGTTCATACCAAAAGAGAAAACTCTTTAGTTAGTACCCCCCAAAAAATAGAGAACCTTCAAGATCAAAATGAGGCTATCTTGAACTTAAAGTCCAGGGGTCCCACAAAGTAGGTAAAATGATCACATACATAAAAATCAGTTGTACTGCAGTTTGAAGAACCAGCAGTTGACTACCCATGAGATCTAGCAGGGAAATGCAAAGAAGAAGAGATCAAGGGGATGGGGGGGGGGGGGTCCAAAAACAATGCAACAAAGCAGTGTGCTCAGAACTCACTGTTGTTTTTCTATTACACACTATAATCTTTGACAATGTGTTGGTCTCCATTTGCTGCTGGCTAAACTAAGCAAAAGAGGGTTATGCAACAGGGAACTGAACCCCCAATCTCATAATTTTAAGACCAATGCCTTAACCACTAGGGATGAACTCAACTTAAACAATATAGAGAACATCATATTGACAATGCAATTTTTTTTTTATTTTGACGTCAGTGGATAATAACAGTTTCTGTACTTTTGCTGACAAATTTCAGGGAGATTTGCCTGCTATACAAAGCAAGTACAAGGAAATGTATGGCAAATCACTGAAAGATGAAGTGCAGGATGAAACAAGTGGTGATTACAGAAAGACTCTTCTAAAACTCATTGGTTCCCATGGAGGAGATGAGAAAAAGGACAACAAAGCAGGGAAAGATGCAAAGCAGAAGAAAGGTGGTGGAAGAGCTAACTCTCCCAAAAAAGAAGATTCAAAGACAACAAAGCGAGAGGGCACAAAGACATCAAACAAAGGTGACACCAAGGAAACCAAGAGAGAAGATACAAAATCTGTGAAGAAAGAGCAGCCACTAGCACAGAAAAAGGCAGCAGCCAAATCCCAAACCCAGCAAGATCAGGGCAAGACAAAGAGAGAGGATTCCCAAGCAAAGGAAGACAAATCTGCAAAGAAAGGAGAGAAAAATGAAGCCACTGCAAAGAAAGGGGAGAAAAGTGAAGTGGCTGCGAAGAAAGATGAAAAGAAGGGTACTGACAAAGGTAAAAAAGACAAAAAAGGGGATGAGAAAGAGTCAAAGAAAGATAAGGAAGAGGAAACGAAAGACAAGGCAGAGAAGGAAAAGAATCAGGATGAGGAAAAAGATGAAGATGAGGACGCCACACGTCTGTACAAAGCTATGAAAGGTCTGGGTACTGATGAGGACACCATCATTGACATCATCCCCAGTAGATCTAATGCTGAGAGACAACAGATTAAGAAGAGATACCAGGAACTCTACAAGAAGGTTGGTGTTTTGTTTCATGTCTAACACAAGTGACAATAAGTAGGCCTAGAATAATAAGTTATTGAATCTGTCAGAAAAGGACCAACTCTTGAAAGGTTTATTTTTCGGGAGAAAGGAAAAAGTTTATCTGATTTAGTCTCTTAACATCTATAGAGGTAAACAGAATAATAAAAGCTTTATTTACTATAGTTCTTTTGCTTCTAATTTAATTTTACACTTGGACCATCAACATTTAATGCAGGGAATTGAAAACTGCTAGACTTGGTCACATTGCACCTCCTAACAATAAACTATATCAGTGTGTCAGGATCACCATTCATTTAAGACAACAGATGTTGTAACTAGTATCATTTTTTTTTCCAGCTAGTTTTTTTTGTAATGAGTCAAGAATCTGTATTTTTTGTATCTACAGAAATCTGCATCAGCAGCTTTTGCTTTCTGGTTTCTTTACCATTATTCTGCCAGCTTTGTATAAACAATATCTGCATTTAATGCACTATAATAGGGTCCTGAATGTTAGTTGGCACTGTAACTTTTCATGTATCATTTCACAAGCTTTTTTAAAATATTGTTTGATTCTGCTACCACCCTCACAAATAAATGAGGGCAGGAGATCAAAAACTTGATTTACCATCACAAAACAAAGAAGACAAAATATGCATTTTGCCTTTTACAAGGTTTTAAGAGCCTGAAAGTGGGTGGAGCGTCAAAACAAGTGTTTAACTAAACGGATCCAATCGTAGAGACTTTTACTGTTGCTCGAATATTACTGCCTCTTTCAATTAGCTTGTATATTACTGCCTCTTTCAATTAGCTTGCAAAATGAAATGATACTCTAATGTATACATTATATACCAGGACCTTGAAAAAGAACTGAAGTCGGAGCTGAGTGGTGACCTTGAGGAGGTCATCCTAGGACTGATGATGCCCCCAGTAGAGTATGACGCCTTCTGTCTATATGAGGCCATGAAAGGCAAAGGCACAGATGAGGCTGCTCTCATTGGTATCTTGTGCTCCAAGACTCCAGCAGAGATTGATGAGATCAAAGGGGTCTACAAGAAAGGTGAAAGATTGATGAAAGTGTTTTTATGTTGGTTCCGAAGTTGACTCAACGTGTTTCAATAATCATCCCAATATCTTTATTTGATATGCCAAGATTTCTTTTCAAATATATACAGTATAACACGGCTAGCTTGAATTCGGGTCCGGCCTCGGTAGTTTAAGGGATCCGTAGTTTGAGTGATACGTAAACAGTGTGGCATCGAATGTGTCGGATAATCAAGGGAAGCAACAAAGATTGCTACTTTAGGGACAAAACGATAGATCGATTACCTCCCTTTAGTTGTCTGTGAACGGAACACGTGTCGAGCAGCTCGCTAAAAAATAGCACAGCTCACTGCCTCTGTGGGAGGGGAGGGGGGGTGATATTTTACTGACTTTGCCTTTTTCTTGTTTTTTATTATTGTTATTATTTTGTTTCAAGTGCAACTCAAAGGGCATTGACGTTGAACACCTACGGCAGTGTAATTAGAATTAGGTCGACTAATCGATATTCGCTTTCAAGCTTAGCGTAATTTTCTTACTAAGATAGAGAAGAAAAAACAGGACCGTAGGCACAGTTCGACGGATACATAATTTCAAATCATCTGTGTTCGACCTATCCATGTTGTACTACATATTTTTCTTTCGTGCCCTCTTCCATCCTCCCCCTTTTAAATTTCGGATGTTATTAATTATAGATTGTTTAACCCACTATTCAAAGAAATCATGATAATTCATATGGAGCCTATATTTTTTAATTATCAACCCACAGTAAATGACTGATTTCCAAGGAATCAAAAGCAGACAATAGAAATTCCTCCATACCAAGTGCAGTGAAGTTAATGGACAAACAGTACTACATGAAACAAAAGGAGAGAGAATGTTTATGGAGCTGTCATGTATTTATGTCCTTTCTTGTTGTGTGTATGAGTGAGTGCACCTGAACTTTGCAACACCACTTTCTCTGTAAATAACCAAGACAAATTTCTCTCTGAGAAATGAATAAAGATTATTACTATTACTGTCAATCAATATTATTTGTATTGAACACAGTCCCTTTTTCTTTTATCTTAATATATGTTAATTGTCTTGGTGAACAGTGTGGGATTTATTTTCTACTTATCATTCTGTCCATCCAGCTTACAAGACGGACCTGGACAAAGATGTCAAGAGTGACACCAGCGGAGACTTCAGAGACTTGTTAGTGCAGAAGGTCAGCGGTCAAGGTGATGAGGACTCAAAGGTGGATCAAGAGAGGGCGGAGAAGGATGCAAAAGCTTTGCATGATGTGAGTGGAGTACCGAAAGAAAGGAGATGTTCGAACACAGTGCTATACTTTTGTATATTTACCCATCTTAAAAGTTTTATAGGTAACTCTGTAAAAGACTGTCAGACAAAAATAGCTTGAAAAATGCTCAACAGAAATTGCTGTTCCCACCTGTTCTCATCATAGTGTTTGTTGCCCAACAGCTATTGTCATAATTTTCATGAGATTTACTAGATCATTTGCTAATATACATCATCCAAAGGCAACACAGATACTTTGATATTAATTTTGCTTATTTTTCATTATAGGATAGGTAGTAGGCTGTTCAGTTAGTTTGTAGAAAGTAAAAGAAAGTTGGCAGTGTTTTAAAAGGCATGAAATCTAAATGAACGACCAGGGAAAACAAAAACAAGAGGTCAAAAACTTTATAGCTTTTTTTTATGTTGGCAATATTTGTTATATTTTTTCTTCCATGTTTTCAACAGAACCCAAGCAAAGATACAGCTAAACAAGCATTTTCCATGGCAAGCCTGACCCAGGTTAAGGCTACAGCTGCTGCCCATGAAGAAGTAATTTTACAGTTGACGTGTGTGTGTGTGTGTGTGTGTGTGTGTGTGTGTGTGTGTGTGTGTGTGTGTGTGTGAGAGAGGGAGAGAAAGAGATCCTTTTCAGAAAATGTGACAACATATCTATTGCATTGTTCATGGATTTGCTGGTCATCATACTCTATGAAGCACATCTACAGTGAGAGAGGGGGCTCTCATGGCCTAGAGGTTAAGGTGGTGGCCTCTCATTCAAAAGTCCCGGGTTCGAATCCGGGTAGCGACCGAAAAATTTTCTTCTCTAAAATTGTCTCCTTTCACCTCCTTTCCTGCTCTCTAGCAATGTTTTGTTGTCTGCTTTCATTTCCACTTTCTTCCCCCACCCCCTCAGCTCCTTTGCCCCCTCCTCTGGGCTCCTGACTCTTTCTGCAGCCTTTTTACTGCTACTCCTTGGCTCCTCCTTACTGCTGTCTTTCTGCCACACCCCTGATCTTCTGGTAGGAAAGATCTACACATAGCCTTCTCGGACAAGGGCGAAAAATCTCGGAGGGCCCGTGTGCAAGTTGCGCACGTTAAAGATCCGTTGGTGGTCTAAAATCGATAAGAGTAGGCTTCGGCCGCCACCCGGGCAAAATTCAAAATTTCCTACCAACTGACAATATTAGGAGTGTCCCGCACGCTCCTGTGACCTATGCAGTTGCGAGCGCCGTAAAACACTTTACAAAAACAAAAACAAAACAGTGAGAGATGTTTTCTGATTGTTGTTACAGTGTCAGCCAAGGCAACAGACAATGAAACATTTATTGCTACAACTATTAGTTCTGTCATGAAAAGGAAACAGTTTCAAAACTAAATATAATGTATGTGTGTGAGAGTGTGTGTGTGGGGGGGGGGGGGAGATTTCTTCTAATTTTGTGTGTGCATGTGAGTGAAGATTCATTTTTCACAGCAGTCTAGGCACAATATCGTTCATTTATGAATGTGTACAATTGGATTTAAGCAAAGAGCCTAGAACTGTCTCCACATGAGAGTAGACAGTTTTAAAAAAAAAAAATTTTTAAACTGGTACTACTACTATTATTATTTCACTTAAGGATTAATATTGAGCATCCACTTTGTTAATTTTTATATCATCAGTTGTTTGGTGAAGACATTACAGAGTCCATCAAGAAAGCAAGTTCTGGAGATGCTGAGGATGCCTACATAGCCTTGGGTAAGTTTATTCTGTTTGGGGATGCATCAATATCTGGCAGTGCATATATTTTAGTGTATTTAAAGCAGTTCATTAGTAATCTGCATAGTCCTTTTCAACCCAGTTGTACAGGTGATTTAAAATAAGATTTTTAACTTGTTGATATTTGAAAGGTAATCTTTTGTTGACAAATGCTTAGATATTGTCTGTTTTTGACCATCTTTTTTGCTTTAATGTTAGTTATCTTAATGTCTCCTTGATTCAGTTCTGTTAAAAGTACTACAGTCGAACCTGCCTTAATGGAAACCTGTGTAAAATGTAAGCCTGTCTTAACGGAATCTCCCTGCGAGGAAGTGGAGTAGGGGTTCAATTTGGGGGTAGATGTTACCCCATCTACGTGAGCCCTGAGGGATGCAGACGGTCAGAGGTGTGGGTGTGAAATCTCATGAGTGTCAATAAAAGTGCTCGAGTAGCAAGCCACCTTAGAAACTCTCTTGTGTAGCCAGAAGAGAAAGGTGTGAAATTAGTTTGACAAATGTCTGTTGCCATGATCGTACAGCCAGCTGAGATAAAAGTTCCTCGAATCCTTGATACAGGATGGCAGTGAGGGGTGGCATTGGGTGACTGTGCTGTTACACCGATGGGTGGGGTTCAAAGTGGAAGCAAAGGAGATGATCAAACATTTCTGTTTTTAATAGGTCAAACAGTGGTCCTATGAAATGCAAGCAGAGGTGGTAATTGGATAAGTAAGACTGATGCGTGTCATTATCAGAGAGGATAGTAGTTGAGAGGTGAGAAGTTTGACCACTGCTTGCCGACCGGACAAGCGGCCCTTGATCCCACCAGCTGGGCCTTTGAAACCCCCCCTCCATGTCCCCCCTAAATCCCCTGTCTAAGACGGAATTTTTTCCTGGCTCCCTTGCGATTCCATCTTACACAGGTTTGACTGTATATTCAAAATGTGCTCGGTTTGCCATGATGCTTATGTTATTAGTCATAATTTGTGTTGTTTTATGCTTGCTTCAGTGAAATCCCAAGATAGTCTCACAGAGTTCTATGCTCAGAGACTTAACAGTTCCATGAAAGGTTTTGGTACCAATGACTCTCAGCTTATCAGGATTCTGGTCTCTCGCTCTGAAGTGAGTGCATTTCTGTATGCATTTATGAATTTGAGGCTATGTTTATTAGTACTCATATAAAAAGAAAGAACAATTCTTATCCAGCTTGAGTTTGAACCTTAAATATTTAGATGTTTAAAAGCTTCTGCATAACAAATACTGATGTATGCATGTGGGACTTAAAGAGAAGCTTCTCAAGTTCCCAAATTTGCCTTGTTGAGAGAAAGATGGTTATAAAAATACTTTCCCAATGATAATGGACTAATTAATTTTTCAATTGTTCTGTTCAAAATTTGAATCCTTTATTTTTTAATTTAATCTGAGTATTCTCCAACAATGACAGATGTACTCAACACTGTTGTTACAAATATTGGGATTGGATACCTTAAATAAAACACAATATTCTTGATCGGAGTAAGGAATATGATTTTCATTAAAAATATGAGGTCTGACTTTCAAACAGTTTCAGTTCATCGACTTCTGTCCACGTATCACTTGGTTTGAAATAATGTTCTGTGTCTCATTTTCATCCTTATAAACATGCTGCAGCAACCGTGCACTCCAGAACCTTTCTTTTTTTTAAACAAGCTCTTCCTGTTTGTTTATTTTACAGCTGGACCTCCCTGTCATCAAGGGAGAGTACCAACAACTGTACAGCAATTCTTTGAGAAAGGATGTGGAGAGTGACACAAGTGGAGACTACAGAAAAGTTCTTCTCAAAATCATAGACAACTGCGGAGAAACAAAACCCAAATCCAAACCCAAGAGTACCAAGAAGAAACAAACCACAAAGAAGAAAGAAGAACCCAAACAAGCAGAACAGAAAGAAACCAAGAGAGCCGTAATTGCACCAGTGAAAGCAGAAGGAAAAGATGACGCTAAAGGCAAAGATAAAGACAAAGATGCCAAAACAGATAAAGACGAGAAGAAGGACAAGAAAGGAGGGAAGTCTGAGCAAAAAGAGGATGAGAAACAAGATGATGATGAAGATGCAACCCGCTTGTACAAAGCTATGAAAGGTCTGGGTACTGATGAGGACACCATCATTGACATCATCCCCAGCAGATCTAATGCTGAGAGACAACAGATTAAGAAGAGATACCAGGAACTCTACAAGAAGGTTGGTTTGGAGAATGTTTACCTTTGTTTCCTATTAATGGTGTCATGTGCTAACCATGCAATTGGAATACATAGGTTTTGCTTTAAAACCATTACTGAGGTCCATCTGTGGGTCTTCAATAAAAATCAAGAGGCAGCATTCACATTCACTATAGACAGAGTTGAAGTACCGTAGGCTCTGTTTGTGTCTTCTCATAGCATTTAAATGTGAACTGGGAGAGGGGGGGGAGTGACTTGTCTTTCAAAAAAAATTCAAGAAACCAAGTAAAAATCACTAAAAGGATTAGATCATAGGTTAACATCATCAAGAATGAATTTACTTTTAGCACCAAGGGAGGAATGAAAAGATAGTTTGGGAATTCTATTTGAGAACAGTGGGATAGACAAATGCAAACTGCATAACTCACTGAATTTATTGAAATTATGTAACATTTAAGTTTTATCAGGCTCCCTTGAGGCAATTACGTGCAAAGTGTGCAATGTGATGAGTTCTCATACCATAATGCAGTTTGATTTGATCAATAAAACATGTTTATAACATGCCAGGCCCATCGCTTTTTTTTCCTTCTAATTAGACATTTCTACACATTTTTAACTCTTATTATACGGAAGGCTCTTACACATTTGTACCAGACTAATTTTGTCTGCAACTTTTTCTAACATCCTATCCTTCACAAATAAATTTATAACTGCTCCCATTTAACTCTGCATAAAATAAACAACAAACTGAGTAGAAATGAATACTCTTTACAATAAACACGAAGATAAATTATTGATAACATTAATTTTTGCTTGATTTAAACAACCGAGCAATGTTGTGCACCACTTCTGCTGGTGTGTTTGATACGCATAGCAAGCTAGCTGGATTAATGTGCCGTACACTAAGAGTTCATTTCTGAACGTCCCGTTATATGAATAACAATCTTTAAACATGTTGATTTACACTCTTTTTGTTTACACTCAGGAGCTGGAGAAAGATCTGAAGTCTGAACTGAGCGGTGACCTAGAAGAAGTCATCCTGGGACTGATGATGCCACCAGTAGAGTATGACGCTTTCTGTCTGCATGAGGCCATGAAAGGCCTGGGCACTGATGAGACAACTCTGATTGGTATCATCACCGCCAAGTCCACAGCTGACCTAAAAGAAATCAAAGCAGTTTACAAAAAAGGTTGGTTCTCAGGATCCCATTATTTGAAAGTTTTGAATCTTCTTTGAACAGTAGAATAGTCAATCAGACACAAATAGATTATGTCACTTGGATCAGGGGTAAAGAAGACAGATGAAGTAAGGAAGTAAGATTAATGATATGCTGAAGCAAACATCACAAATCATGTTCATATAAACTATATTCATGTTCATGTAAGCTTTATTTCCACTACCAGAGGATTTTTCTCTTTCCTTTCGTGCTAAGTGGTTCTATCCCCCCCCCCACCCCACCCCACCTCCCTGGAAGGGGATTAGGAAGGAATTAATTTCATGGCAATGGCACATGTATTGTAGTTTTGGAGTTACATGACTGTCAAAAGTCATATACAAAGTCCTACAAATTGCAAAAGGCTCTCTTAACAGTTGTCAATGAAAGTGCAATCCATGCTGTATTTATTTTCTCTCAAGATGTAGCTTACTTCCTGAATTTGTGTGCTATGTTATTGTTTTCTTTGAACTTTCAAATGATATTCTGTTTCCTCATATCATTTTGAAGTGAACACTATTTGCCAACACCGGTAGCTCGGAGCATTAATTTTTATGACAATTTTGGATGTATTCAAGACTGTCCTCCCACTTGGCCTGATAAAGATGTTAAGATTCTCTTAAATAACCTTAAAGTATTGAATACCCATACCTTACTATACCACTGAGTATACTTGAATACTTGAATGTAGAACTGGGGTCTTAAGAAGACGGGGTGCTCCATGCTTCCTCGTCCCTCTTCATAAGGTCCATTTCAGTGTGTGGCAGGCTGATTGTCTCCATTGTCAGTTGGTTATACCAGTGAGTATGTGAGTATGCATTCATTGCATCTTCATGGGAAATTTTGCTTTCATATATCAGTGTACAAGCAGGACTTGGAGAAAGATGTGAGCAAAGATACCAGCGGAGAGTTCAGGGAGCTTCTTGTCCAGCTGTTGAATGGTCAGAGAGAGGAAGGTTCGGACGTTAACAAGGACCAGGCAGAGGAGGAGGCCAGGACCCTACGTGATGTAAGGAGCCCAACATTGCATTATGCTATAATAATCAATCTCTGGGAAAAACAGGCAACAAATGGGGCAGACGTTGACCAAGAATAACTCACTGAGAGAACTTGAAAAGATGGGTGAAGAGAAAAGACCAGGAAAATATATTGGGATTCTTTTTAGGGTAATCAATCAAAGTAATAAGTGATGAACCATGAGTGTTGATGTCTGTTTCAGATTTAACACTTAAAGATGAAGAATTCATAACTTTTTTTTCAATAATTTTTTTAAGCTGAGGGGTCCTTTTCACAACTATTGAGGACAATCTGTGGCTGTGTTACATAGTTTTGTATTGACACATGATATTCAATGCCTTGTGTAATCAGTGGCAAGAATAATGACATACAGAACTGCAGCGTTTAGGAGATGGAGAATGATAGGCAATTGCTTGATAATGATAGTTTTCCAAATCTGTTGTGACACTCCTGTTGACCTAGTTATGAGACAAATGAAATGTTCTTATTTAGTGACTTGAGAATTTTAACAAGCTAATTATGTGTGTAACTTTTACTTTTTAAAACAGTTTTTCTATACTATTAAAATAGGAGGAATACAAATTAAGTTCATCAGTTAAAAAAACAGAGCATTGATTCTTACTTTTTGACAAATTGTAATAACTGGATGTAAATGTCAGAAGTAGAAAGTATATGGAGTATAATAGTGGTACAGATGACAATTTATACTACTCGCTGTGTAATTGATAAGCTGTGAACTGTAGCTTCCGAAACTTTTTCTGCACACATTTTGCTGATTTTACATTGTTACCATTTTCTTTTTCCTTTCTACATATTCTTCCTCCAGAAACCATCTAAAGAGAAAGTTCGGGAGATATTAGCTAAGAGAAGTCCAGCCCAGGTCAAGGCCACAGGAGAAGCACATCAGAAAGTGAGTGAGGAGAATACATTTCTTCAGGATTTGGCACAATGCTCGATCAGAAGCTGTTTTCAACATCTTAAATATTATGACGAATAGCTTTATAAGTAATGACTGTGTTCAACAGAATTGCTTATGACTAGAAAAAAAAAATCCTACTCTTTAATTGATTTTCAAGAAATACCAACGTGTGCTACTAAAATTACTCCAGTGATTTATGTGCTTTTTTGTCACAAAAAATGGATGGGAGTCATTGTCTTAGCTAGTCAACTAGTCATTTTATAAGACACTTCGTCATTAAGATGTTACATTCGGGCTCATTTTCCATGACGAGGAAACATCTGACAGGGTTTATTGATTATATAATAAATGAGACAAATCTCTTTGGGCAGATTTTGAAATAAGAACTAAAGAAATAGAATGATAGACAAGAGACAAGTGTGCCCATAATCTGAACCAAGAATTACATTGCAGCTTTTTCCCAAAGTTATTTCACTGCGTTGCTGTTATGTTGTTGATTTTCTTGACAAAACGGGTGCGAAGGTTATACAGTACATAGATGTATCTAAAGATATGAGGTAGGCACTATCCTAATTTTTGCTTTTCTTGTTTTTTCAGCTGTTTGGGGAAAGCATCACAGAATCAATCAGAAAAGCCTGCTCCGGAGATGCAGAGATGGCGTACCTTGCTTTAGGTGTGTGGGAAATAATTCTTCTGTAGTCTGTGTTCAGGCAAAAAGCTAAATTGTTCCCAAAGCTGCTTGGTTATTTGCCTTTCTCTTATTTGCTAGTGAAAATCTGGAAAGCAAAAGCCCAGCCCACATTTTTCTACAACAATTGAGGCTAGATTTTTACAACTTTTCTTCAATAAATTTATATAAAATACTACAAATCTCCTTCAAGCAGAAAATGGAATTGTTCACAGCACTTCCCGCTTCTCACACACATTTTACATACGTATATATGGCTTACGTCACAGCTCACCTATGACACTTTTTAATGGCAGAAATAGTTACAAAGAATTAATTTTATAGTGAACACACTTTTGCTCTAAAAGTTCTCAAATCATGCGTTAAATAAAGATAATCTCGAGATTAGAAAAAAATGCCTGACTTACTTTTAAAAGCAATATATTTGTCCCTGCTGTAAACCTTTTAAAATCAGTAGAAACCACCCACTGGGATGTTTTATTAGTATTTATTGAGGAATTTTCTAGAATACAGCTAACAGGTGTTTACAAAAATATTGATCTGTTCAGACAAATTGATACAAGTTGACACTGTGCAAAAGCTTGAGATTTTATGTTTGATAGTTGAGGAGACATTTGACAATAAATTGCGCCACGATTTTTTGACCACTCTAAAGTAGTCAATTCTTAATAAAAATTTCCCCCACAACATCCTCCTACTCTTTTCTATCCGAATTCTGGAACTATTGATTTTTTTCCTTTCAGTGAAGTCAGCAGAAGATGAGGTGACATTCTATGCAGAGAGACTGAACAGCTCCATGGAGGGAAAGGGAACCAATGAGACTCAGCTCAGCAGAATTCTTGTTGCTCAGTCTGAGGCAAGTATTTCATGATCTCACAGAGTAAATTTTTATAGATGGAAACAAATCAGTGGTATGAATGCAAACCAAATATCTTGAATAATAGTAACACCATTTTTGGCTCATATATGAGTTTGGGCTGTCATGACTACCTTTTTTTTCAATGTGGAAATATTTTGTCGAATTGAACACTATGATTTAACTTTTTAGTGCTGGCAGTTTTCATTCTCTCTAAAACAGTTACAAGAGGCTTATAGCTACAGATTAAGCCCTGTAACATTAATAACATTTGTTGGCTACCGTGCTTGCACTCCCACAAAGTATCACTTTTGTTTGTAGCATTAACATCATATTATGTAGTTGAATTTTCTTATGAGAACCAACTTGTATTAATGCTATTGTTTTTGTGATAACAGTTTGTGAAAGCAACGTTATATGAGGACTTTTTACATCGGAGGATTTCCCTACGCACTTTGGAAGTTTTCATAATCTTCCGACTTTTAGTTTTGTCAATGTATAATTTTTTTCTTAATTTTGTTGAAAGAAATAGAAATCAGAGAAGCACTATCCTTGAGATGATGTTTATTGTAGTCCTCTTGGTAATGGCTATAAATGATATGAAATGGAGAATTTATCAAATAACTATATTGCTTTAATTCCAATTTCAAGCTTTAATCATCCTTGCCTTCTCTTCTTATGTTGACTTTGAAGTGTGGACAGTTTTGATATCAGCAGGCTTACATATTTTTTCATTTTTGTGTGTATGTGTCTTGTTAATCATCAGATGAATCTACCTACGATCATGAGCAAATACGAGAAGTTGTACAGTCGCAAGCTTCGAGGAGACATTGACAAAGAAACAAGTGGAGACTACAAGAAAGCACTTCTAGCTATCCTAGATAGCTCTGGGGCCAATACCTCAAAAGACAAGAAAAAATCTGATGAGAGTAAAACTACCAAGGAAAATAAAGACAAAGATAACAAAAAAGATGAAGAAGACGCAATAAAGATATTTCAAGCTATGGATGGCCTTGGAACAAATGAAGATGTGATAATTGGTATCATTACAAGGAGATCGAACAGTGAAAGACAAGACTTGAAGTCAAAATACCAGGATCTTTACAAAAAGGTAAATCTTTAAAAATCTAATTAAAATTTATCTCTTTTATCTCAAGGGTTTTTGGCTTCTTAATTTTCAAGTTATACACTGTGAGAGAATTCAGACGAATGGCGTCATAAACACACAAAATGATCTATCACTTTTTAATGTCTGTGAACCACAAAAATATTTAAAAACTAGTATGTGAAATCTTTTCAATACTTTTAATACGTTAAGGCCAACTGAGCCAGAGTCAATCCTGGCTTCAACAACATAATGCAAAATCCACAGTAGTTAGTTTTTTCCATCCTTGTTGAGGCTGGTACCGGTACCCTATTCACACCAAGATGAAGAAGGGAAAAATTGTGTAAAGTGTCTTTCTTGAAGGTTCCAAGTTGAACTCAATATTATTGTCAGAAATCTTTTTCTTTTTCTCATTCTCCTTCAATAGACGTCCCAGTCTTTTGTGCAAAGGCTGCTGTGTTCCTCAGGTTCTCCAATTTCCTGTAAAGTTTTGGGGCTCCCTGCATAGGGTTGGACCAATATTTCCTTCCAAGTGCTTCATGCATTGGCCAGGCTTGTAGTATGTGATTTTTCTGTTTGGGTGCAGGTTCCACACTGACACTGCTCTGAGTTGCTGATCCTAAACTTTGTGAAGAAGATGATGTTTCAGTCAGTTATGACCAGTTCCAAGTCTCAATAGAACAAGCTGTTCTTGACGGATGAGGAGGCAGAACTACGGGTCAGCATGGCTGTAACATGGGTGTTGTTCGTTTCAATATTCTTGCAGTATTCTGAGAAATCAAACCCACAACCATTTGATTTCATGTAATATCCAATGGCAAAATCCCAAGGCCACAGATACCACAAGGCTATCGCCTTTGTGTATCTCTCTATTCCAGGATCTTACAAGTGAACTCAAGTCCGAGCTTAGCGGCGACCTGGAAGAAACCATCCTGGGACTGATGATGAAACCAGTTGAGTACGATGCCCATTGTTTACACGAGTCAGTCAAAGGCATGGGGACAGACGAGACGATCCTAATAGGCATCCTGTGTTCTCACACTCCTCCTCAACTTGCAGACATAAAAAAATCTTACAAAAAAGGTAACGCGTCCCATGATATTCTTCAAAAATCCATAAATATTATACCTTCTGTCTACCTTTTGACATAATTTTGCTCTTGTGTATTGAGATAGAATAAGAAATGCTGGAGCCGAGAGGAAAGCCTGCCAGCTGCACATATCCACAAATGGAAATGAAGTTTTGAAATGCTCAAAATAAGGTAAACTCTTCCTAATTCTGTGTCCTCTTCCCAGAACTTGTTCCGTTGGCCATTGCAGAAGTCACAAGTCATCTTAATCTTTATATCTAAATTTTTCTATTTCTTTTAGGAAATACTTTTCTCTTCAGATGCATTAGTCATCCTCAGACATTGACAGCCAAACTATAAAGAGTGTTGTGATGGAAGATTACTGTGCATGACACGTAAAATCTTTTTGAAATTCTCTACATAAATAACTGTATGCTAACTATGTAAATACTTTCACACCAAAATGTTTATCTTGTTGTTGATAGTATACATTGTTAATACCAAGGTGCAAATCTTTTTATTTTTATAATTGTTTCTCCATCAGCGTATAGGTCAGAAGTGTCTGAGGATATCCGTAAGGACACAAGTGGAGACTTCCAGCAGCTGCTGCTTCAGTTGCTCAACAACCAAGGAGATTCCAATGTCCAGGCCGACAAAAAGAAGGCTGAAACAGATGCCAAGAAGTTACATGATGTGAGATCTCTGTCCTCAAAATAAAGTAATCCTGCTGGGTGGAGAGGGAAGAGGATAATGTTTTTGATTCCTGTGGGAACTTTCCTATCATAACATTCAGGATATATAGATTAGAAGAAGAAGAAGAATGATAAATAACATGATAGATATTTTCAAACATTACCTTAGCCTATCATTAGTGGTCACAAAGATTACACCACTCCTTATTTATTTATTTAGATTCAGAATGTTCAAATGTTTTTTGTCTCCATATGAAAGGTTCTTGAGTAAATCTCGACAAGTTTCCAAGAAAAGTCAAAAACTTGATTAAAGATGAGCATTTTTTTACATCCATATCCATAATCACTGTAAACAGAGATGAACATGAAACAGAGAGACATTTAGAGAGATTGATTTATTTGCTATCTCATTGAACATCCTCCGGATTTTTAAAGGTGTCTTCTCATAAAATAGTATAATCAAATATGCCAGATCAGTCAAATAAAGACATGTTCTATGTGCATGTTTAGTTTAAACATTCGTTTAAAAATTATTTATTTTGTAGGAACCATCAGCTCAAAGTTTGAAGGAAGCTCTCTCAAATGGCAACAAGAAACAAATCAGTGCTGTTGCTGAGGCCCACAAGAAGGTAATTATTTTACATAGCCATGATGGCCCCATTGTACTAGTATAATTCTTTTACGTATTATTTTTCAACTACTTGTTGTTTTGGCAAGTGTTTCACGGCGCTCACAAGTGCATAAAGTCATATGAGCGCGTGGGACATGTTAAACATTTTCAGTTTTGTTGGAATTTTGAATTTTTACCTGAGTGGCAGCTGAAGCCTACTCTTATCGATTTTAGGACCTCCGAGATTTGTCACCCTTATCCAAGAAGGCATGGTGTTAGATCTTCCTTACCATAAGATCAAGGGTATGGCTGAAAGACAGCAGTATAAGAAGGGGCAATGGAGTAGCAGTAGAAAGGCTGCAGAAAGTATCAGGAGTCCAGGGGAGGGGGCAAAGGGAAGTGAGGGGGAGGGGGCAGAAAGTGGAGACAAAAGTAGACGACAGAACCCGGTGAGAGAGGTGAAAGAAGATAATTTTAGAAAAGAAAATTTTCCGTTGCTATCAGGTTTCGAACCAGGGACCTATAAAATAAGGCGTTCACCGTAGCCTCTAGACCATGAGATTCCTCTTTCCAACTACTTTTAAAAGAACAATAATGTAAATTGTTCAAATAGGTAGATAAGTAAATTGATTAATTAATTAATAGATAAATAAATAAATAAATAAGCATTTTCAGACTAAATTCCCTCTCAACAGCAAGTTCTATACGCTAAACAAAATGTTATATCTTTCAGTGTCGAGAGCCGATTACACATTCACGCCTTGGTGAAGAGAGGAAAATTTTGTAACGTGCCTTTCAACTTTCATAAGGACATGAATTTGGACGAGCTGAGCCTCGAACCCCTGAATCCCCAACTTTTTAATTATGAGCCCAGTAGCCGAACCTCAGGACAACCAATGCCTCATTTACACAAATTTTAACAAATATTTCTTTACTCTGCAAGTACAGAACTGTGTCTATTATGTTGCAGATAAAAAATGGTCACGTGTAAGATATTATTAGCGCTCAATGGATTCCATTTGTAAATATCTTTGTTAAAGAATTAACAAACCCTATCCTCTGCCAACAGCAAGAATGATTTATTTTTTTATAGCAATTTATAATTATTTGCCCCACAGCTCTTTAAAGAAGACATCACAGAATCTATCAAGAAAGCGAGCAGTGGTGACACTGAGAATGCTTACCTTGCCTTAGGTAAGTCTCATTTTAGTCTGATAGTAAAAATGTAATAATAATGAAAAGTCTTTCTCTAATGTAGGTGAAAATATAATGAGTTTTATATCAGTTATCTTTCATTTCAGCTTGCATGAAGCGGAACATTATGTTCAGAGAGACTTTCTTATCTTTTTAGTTTTGAAAAAGATCAACAAAAGAAAAAAAGTATCTGAAACGAAGAGTGTTGACTGATTTGTAAGCTGGTGGAACTATTTTCAGCTAATTTAGTTTTGTTGTTACTTGTGTTTGTATTCAACAAATTCAACTGAAGCATAATGAAATGTTTGCACTACAACAATTTTACCACATAATGTGAAAAAAATTTCTTTAATGGTCCTTGAGTAATTTTCAACGTTTGTTGGGATGTTCTGCTCCCAGATTTTAGTCTGTTGATAATGAAACACATTTTCTCTCTAGAGCTGAACTTGAGTTGGAAAAGAGATCAAAATAGATGAAGTATCCATTTTAATTATTACTTTTTTCAGCATCACATATTTCACTGCAATTTTTCTCCTGTTTAACTTATTTGCATCAATCAATAAACACGACACAGAACAGAAATTAATGCTCCTTGCAAAAACATTTGATAGAAAGGGAGCATTGATTGGCTAAGATTTTATATTCTGTACCTCAGGCCTGGGCAAACTACAACCCACAAGCCAGCTGACCCAAAAGCAATTTCAGTTCGGCCTGTGTGTTGACCATGTGGTTAATAATATTAATATTGAATGTGGCCAGCTTTGAGTTGAAAACTAATTAAAACAAAACTGTCCGTCTTGAAAATAATAATTGATAGTTTCTAGCCCAGATGGAAGCAATAGACCTAATACTAATATTTTTATCTCGTGAAATACCCTTGAGTGATGTATGTTCTTGTGTCAATTTTAGTCTCACTTTTGAGAGCTTGAGTATTTCAACAGATTTCACCTAGTTTTCTACTGCTTTGGCCTACAAGATATTAGAAATTACTTATTCCGGCCCACTGCTTGAACATATAGCCAATTCCTGCCGTTACACTGTAAACAGTCTTCATAAGCTGCACTAATTCGCAACTGGCACACCAGGCAAATGGTTCTGACCAGCTCTCCAGCTGAACTGGTGCATAGTATATTAAGCGATAAGAAGGTATTGACTTATTTCATTCATAGCAATTCCTAAAAGTAATAGATAATATACAAATAATAATTTCAGTGAAAGCTTCAGATGATGAGCCCACGTTTTATGCGGAGAGGCTAAATCAAGCTATGAAAGGAGTGGGCACCAATGACACACTGCTGATAAGGACTGTCGTCTCCCGTTCTGAGGTAAGGAGTATCTCAAACTGCTCTGATTATTAATAGTATTAATTAACCTGAGGAGAGGCTTATTTGAATCGGAGCCATACTGCTCTTTTCATATTGAAGATACATACTTAGGTTTATTCTATTCTCTTTCCTCTGCTTTTAATGCCCTAGATCTTGATCTTTTATTTCTTTAAGATATCAAACAATAACAAATTCTGTGTGTCCTCTTCCTTTGATAAAGTAAAAAAAGTGTGTAGAACGTATACAGAAAAGACTGTCTAAGGCGACCATCCATTGTCGAGGAGAAAAGTGGTCATCTTAGACAGGTGGACATCTTACATGGTGGCGTTATAGTGCTGTAATGTTTTTTTTTTTAAAGCAGGGAAGAAGGAAATAAGATGTTGCTGTTTGTATGGGTGATTGTCGTATAATGCAGGTGGCCATTAGAGCTTGGTTGACTCTATATGCTTTTTAAAGGCACTTAAGCAACAAAAAATCAAACAAGAGTAATAGATCTATTATTTTTGTTTTAAATTTTAGAGCAATTCCCATTCAAATTATACAGGGTACTTTGGCTAACAGCCTAGAAGGCAGAATATAAGACCTTCAGCTCTAAAGGCAAAATGCTGTTACTAGCATCACAGGACACAACTTGCTGAGTGGATCATAGAATTTATTCCATCGTTTTTTGCAAAGCATATAATTTCTGAATTAGACAAAATTAACTTTGTCTTACAGATACTTTTTAACAGTTTGGCTCAGTTTGATGATTTGAAACCAAACTTACAGAAATATTCTCAAATGGGGGATAATCGGAGGAGTCTGTTCAGCTACTGGAATCCGATCACACAAACCTAGTTGTTGCCAAGTTGAAATTCAAGGCGAATTAGCTCAATTTTAGTCAACGTAGCTTACTAAGAGAGAAAGATGATGTTAAGTTGAGAATTGAATACAGCAAAGTCTGCTTAAGCCAAAGTCTATATCACTTCACTGCAGTTTTGTTTTATATATTGAGTTATATTTATCTGCGATACCATTTTCTCCTACTGCCAACAGGTGGATCTCCCAGCAATCAAGAGCAAATACCAACAACTCTACAAACGCTCTCTCAGACAAGACATTGAGAGCGATACCTCAGGCGACTACAAGAATACGTTGCTCAAAATCGTTGACAAAAAGTGAACACTAGAGATGTTTTGTGGGTTTATCACTGCTGATACCTCTTTATAATGGAAGCTTTTTATTGAATTATATTATACCGATATATATATTGTGAAGCAGTATTATATGTTTGATAACTATTTTGCCTAAGACAATGTTTCAATATTTTAATCAAAGTAGAACAGCAATAGGATCGGTTGCAATGTTGACAACACAATGGTCCCTATGATCAAGATTCTCTCCGGATCAAATAGAACTTATCAGTACCTCAGAATTTTGGCTTGAAGAAGTCCTGCTGCTGGAACTAATGTATGTACACCCAGTCCGCACAGGATACAATCTGTAAAGGTCATAGATTCACAGATATACCCGGCATTTGTTGACAATTGAGAAGTCTCAACATCGCTTGAAGTATAAAATTCAACCCTTACTTTAGGACACTTTGTCATATATGTCAGTTATATTGTGCAAGTATGGTATTTCAAAAGAAGGGACAACACTGTAACTGTATATTGTACTGATTTCAAAACTCCCAGCTCAGTATTATCAACACTCATATAAGCAGTTAACCATTCATCTAAGGAAATTCTTAACACTTAACAATTGTGTATTTCACAACACAAAATTATGTTTCCTTCATAAAGGCTGTTTCCTTCATAAAGGCTAGCTCTTTAGTGTAGACCAACAACTGATTTCCATCTTAAATTGTTGTTCACCTGATAAACTGAACATTATAACAGTATTTGTATTTGCATCTCGTTGTCAATTACAAGTCTATTGTTGTTTTCTGACCAGTCTGTGATATCAATGTGTGAAAAAATTTTTCTCAATATTTTAATCCTCAAATTATATTTCACTTCTACTAGTGTAGACATGCCAGTGCCACTACTGTGATTTCTTTTCATTCCTGAGAAAATGCAGTGGGTTTTTTTTTATTTAGCTTAGTTATTTTGTTTCCATTGTTTCATTTTCTGAGTCACTTTATTATCTCCTAGTTGATTTTTAAAAATATTTAATGATAACCTTGATATAATCAATGATAGTACATAACAAGATGGGCCACTTCTCTCTTTGGGCCAATTAAAAAAGTGACCTCAAAATTTGGTGGCGCCCTCTTCACAAAAGCGCACTCTTTGCGAACAGAGTTACCCTACTTGAGTTTTTTTTTAATCAAAGTGAAACTAGCAAGTTTTGGGATAAATTTCGGAAGAACGCTTTTTTTAAATGGTTACACTGACAAAAAACCTCTTCCGGAGGAAAGGGTGATGGTTTTCTTCGTTTAATTTGACTTTAGAATGAAAGGCAAGAAGTAATTAAAATATTTAAAAAACTAAAACTCCGCACTGAACGTACCCGAACTGCTGATGAACAGCAGTCACAGAATTCTACTAAGTGTAGAATTCTATGACAGCAGTCGATCTGCGCACGCAAGGAGGTGCTATTCCTATTCTTCTTCTGGAAAAACGAAAGAGAGCTTCAAAACAGACTGCAGCGCCATCTGAAGCAAAGAGCATACTTCCTGCGGACACTTTTTTGGCTGAGTGGCCCATCTTGTTATTCACTATCTTTGATATAATATTATTATTATAATATTACTTGGCGTCCGTTTCAAGCAGGAGGAGTTGAGAAAATGGCTGCCATCAAGTTTATGTTCTCTTTTTTTGGAGGAGATAACTTTCACTTTAGTTTCAGTTGTATTTCCTGTAAATTATACTTCAGTTGGTAGATAGTAAATATGTTTTTCATCGCAAGGGAACATGGAATTAACAATATATAACACATTAAAACAATAAATTTCTCAGTGTTTTTTTGTTTTTTTCTCAGTTTACATGATTATTTAGTCAGCAATGAAAATTTTTAATAATCGGAACAGTACATCACATAAAATAAAATGACAGTCGTGTTTGCCATTTCTAGGGGGTATCAGATGAAAGATTGGAAGTAGAGCGAGAAGACAGAATAAGAGAAGAGATGAGAAAAGCTCTGCTTCATATATCAGAATACAAGTTGATTGCAGTGCAGTAGTGCATGCGTACTCACTTTTGCTCTCTCTCTCTCTCTCTCTCTCTCTCTCTCTCTCTCTCTCTCTCTCTCTCTCTCTCTCTCTCTCTCTCTCTCTCATGGAATAGATTTATCTTGCTGCAAACTTTCAAGAATGTTAAAAGAAAAAAAAAGGAAGATATAATAGTGACCAGAAAACGTCTGCAGGAAACAGAAAACGAACCCAGCCATACATAAACCGTAGGAACACAAACAAGGGTACAAGAATGCTGAAGGAAGTGCTTATGTGGAATAGACAACATTGTAAAATATGAGAAATTCTGTGCAGCAGAAGGGTAAAGGAAAGAATTTGGAGAGAACAGATAATAAAATACAAAGACAAATCCGTTGCTTTAAGCATTTGTAATGCATTCCATCAATAACATTTTGAATCCCATGTTCTCAAGGAATTCCAGATTTCTCAGTTTACTTTAGAACGGGAAGTAGAAATTTTTTTAAAGCTAAAATATACTTTACATATCTGGGCAGAAATTTGCAATGCAATCAGAATGTCTTTGTTGAGTTTTGATTTATCCAAGGAACAGTCACAAAAAGTGATGTGTATATGAAAATGAAGTTACTTTTTAAAGAAACCAGAATACTATTTATACATGATGTATGACACTACTAAGTTTTGTATTTAAACATGTATTGCTTTAGAGTTGCAGTTGACATTTGACTGAGAACAAATAAATGGCTCCTGGAGCTCTGTCTTATTTTGACAAGTACCGCTATCTATTTCTTGAAAAGTATCTGCCTCCATCTTTCCATATCGATGGTTAACATACCTATTGACAGCTAAGAGAAATATAAAAATACAAATCAGAAAAATAGATTGACACAATAATAGGTAGCAGAACCACATTGTGTCTACTTCTTTCATGAGTTTGCTCACAATAAGGGGGTTTACCATTGCGCCAGATGAAGAAGCTATGAGAATACAAGAGGAAACAAAACCGGTGACTCTGAGAATCTCACTGTGAGACCAGGAGAAGCCTGCAGGGAAGACAGCGGACATGCCAAGGCCTGCACAAGCTATGAACACAAACATAGCTGTGAGGACCCCGAAGGATGCACTCACGGTAAACAGGCCGAGTGTGATTGAAGACAGGACACAGCAGAAAGCCAACAAAGTTTTCGGGGATAAAATATTGGAAATGAAAATCAATAAAAATCGAGACACCACAAATGAACCGAAGAAGACAGCAGTTGCATAAGCCCCCTGAGATTTGGTAACAAAATCAAATTCTTCAACCAAGAAGGTCATGAGCAGAACGGCAAACGTGTCTTCTATGCAGCAGTACACGAAATAGAAGGAACATAGAGAAAACAAAAGCAGCCACACCACAGCTCTTGGGAGATCTCTTTGGGTTACTTTCTCGGTAGCATTTTCTTTCTTTTTCTCTTGGACATCGTCTTCTTTCTGACGCCTGCTTTGGACACAAAACAGCAAGAAAGGAAGGGATATGATCAGTATAAAAATTCCCGTTATCATGTAAGCGTAGTGCACATTTGTCGAAGAGTTCATTTGATTCATTTGTGTATCGAGGAGGATACCAGAAGTCCCATTTTGTAAGGCAAGATGCTCGAGTTTATATGAGTCTTCTGTCGTGACAATAAAAGATGTTCTCGTAATATCTAAATAATGTGACTGATTCAGAATTTCCCCACTACCATTATTAAGATTATCTAGAACCAAATGTGTGTCGGTCGTTCCCTCTGTGAGGTTTCGGTGGCTCACTGCGGAGTTGGTTCTCTTCTTGTCAGATTTCGGAGCTAGGAACGGTTCCGTGTAGAGAGGAGAGACGAGACTACCCACAGCCGCCATAAAGTGGATGACTTGCATGAGGACACTGCCTTCTGTACCCCACAGTCGCATGTGTTCCGCGTGGCCGCCTGAATGATAGGGAAGAGAAAATACAGTAGTAGAAATAAAAGAAAAATTCCATAAATCTTGAGTTACTGGTAACCATTATCTCGACAGCCCAATTATTATGACAATCATTCTCCTGCAAGGCTCACATAAAGTATATACCAATGGTTCTCACTCAGTGTGAGTGCGTGCGTGCGTGTGTGGGTGTGTGTGTGTGTGTGTGTGTGTGTGTGTGTGTGTGTGTGTGTGTGTGTGTGTGTGTGTGTGTGTGTGTGGTGTTAGTGCGTGCATATATATATACATGTATATATAAGAAGGGAAGCAAATCGTGTGGCATAGGATCCAGGGGATGGGGGAAGGGATGCCAAAAAATAGGTTTGAGAACCGTTGATTTAAACAAAGAAGATCATACCTTTGAACCGTAATGAAGGAAGGTAGAAAATGATATATTTTATACATCTATATATACGTCATGTTAATTTACTTATGTTTTTTTGGTGTTGAGATGAAGGTACATGTATTGTATAGCGCTTGCAGCTGGAGCTGTGTTGTTGGTTTGCGGGAGAGCGCGCTGTTGAAATTATCTGCATTATTTTTATCATTAGTCGATCTATTTGTTTTAACGAGACAACCGCTATGGGTTTCGTTACAATGCTGTATGCGTGTAGCTCATCAGGGAAAATACAAGGGGGGGGGGGGGTTGTTAAAGGAAAAGTATGAAAAGGTAGTTTACATAATTACATGTACTTTCTCTCCAACACAACCTGCTCTTTACTTGAGCCCTGGATGTGGAATCTGCGGTTGCAGTTGCACCTCAAACGTATGACAAAGTGTGTGTGTGTGTGTGTGTGTGTGTGTGTGTGTGTGTGTGTGTGTGTGTGTGTGTGTGTGTGTGTGTGTGTGTGCTGCAATTGCAAAAATATTGCGTTCCCTGCGGCACTGTTTAGATCATTATTAAGAAAGCCGGCTTTTATCAATTAATTTCATAAACTTCTGTTACTTTCCTTTACCTGTGTCAACGATGCCTAGAAAGAACCCATAAGCAATCCTGATACAAATCATGGAACCGTAGCTATCACAATACGGCACAGCAATTGTTGCGACCCCCATCAGGAAAGATGCAATGAAGAGAATCGCATTTGGATTAATCTGAAATAGAAGATGAACATCATTTCAGAGTGAAAAAACACAAACTTGAACAGTTTATTCTTTCCCCCCTCTTTTTTTTCATGTTCATCTATCTTTCTGTTCTAATAAGTGTGCTGCATCCATCGGTAAGAGGAGGAAGGAGGAAAGCGGTGCGTTGGTTTCTGTTACACTATTGCTGCACAGCCCACCAGCATTGTTCTATTATATAGAGGGTAGTTTTTGCCTGTTCTTTTCTTCCCCCCCCCCCCCCCCCACCCCCGCCCGGTCCGATGTGGTGTACGATTGTCAAAAGTATTCTAACCAAATCTAAACTCCTAAACATGTCAATAACAATAACAATTCATAACATGAATAGGACAATGAATGATGACACCGATAAAGATGACAAACTTGTCGCAGAAGATGTAGGAAAGCAAGAAAGTGTAACTTTCGAACCAAAAGGGCCTATTTTCACTGGTCGTACACTATGTATGTATGGCTCTTTTCGTCTATGCAGGCGGTTAATTTAGCTTAAGATGGTCTCTTCATGCAGTTTCTTTCATGGTTAATTTTTCTTATGTTTGAAGCGCAGATTCTGTCGCAGTGCTTGCATGTCAGTGACGTAGATCGAAGTTCTGTATTTCCGTTGTTTTCCTTTCATCGTTGGCGGTTCTCAGCCTGGTTGTTTCTAAGGCTGCTCTCTAGCATTATAGTTCTTTCCTTTATGATTTTCCTCCATGTTTTCCTGTCCTCGGCTATTTCTTCCCAGATGCTAACATCTACTCCAAGCTTAGATAAGCTGTTTTTACAGGTGTCTTTGTACTTCAATGTAGGTCTTCCTCTTGGTCTCTTTCCCTGGGCAAGTTCTCCATAGAGACGTTGCTTCGGAATCCGGTTGTCGTTCATTCTCTTGACATGGCCCAGCCATCTAAAAAAAATTTAACACAGGATAGTTGTCATGCTCTGGAGGTTCGCCCGCGCCAACACTTCTATATTTGTAACCTTGTCACGCCACGAAATGCCTAAGATCTTGCGGCAGCATCTGAGATGGAAAATGTCGAGGCGCTTTTCTTGTCTGCTGTACAAGGTCCATGTTTCAGATCCATAAAGGAGTGTGCTGAGGACACATACTTCGTAAATCTTGATCTTTGTTTTGATGGTTAATCTTTTGTTTTCCCACGCTCGTTTTGTCAGCCTTCCAAAAGTTGTTGCTGCTTTCCTTATCCTGATATTGATCTCATAATCAAGTGATGTAGTGTAGCTTATGGTAGATCCCACGTAACAGAACTGGTCCACTGTCTCAAGTTCCTTGTCGTTCAGCCATATATGGTTCTGCTCTACTCCTACTTGGGTAAGGATGACCGTTTTCTTAACACTGATGACCAAGTTAAAGACCTTGCATGCTGTTGCATAGGCGGTCCATCATTGTTTGTAGGGTAGATTCACTGTGAACAACAAGAGCAGCATCATCGGCGAAGAGAAGGTCTCGCACTGTTGTTTTGTTGATCTTGGTCTTGGTCTTGGTCTTGAGTCGAGCAAGTTTAAAGAGCGACCCACCAGTTCTCCAGTGGAGGAAGACATCCCCTGGTGACTCTTTGAATGTGTTTTGCAATAAGACAGCAAAATAAGTGCTAAAAAGGGTTGGTTCTAAGACGCAACCTTGCTTTACTCCGCTATTGATGTTGAAGCTGTTTGATGTTGAACCGTCAAACTGAATGGTGGCCTTCATATCTTCGTGGAATGAAATGATGAGCTGTAGCAGTATTGGGGGACAGCCAATTTTTACAAGCACCATGTACAGTCCTGATCTACTGACTGTATCAAAAGCCTTTGTCAGATCGACGTACGCAGTATGTAATGGCAGTTGTTGCTCCCTGCATTTTTCTTGCATCTGATGAATAGAAAAGATCATGTCCATTGTTGAGCGGTTTGATCTGAAACCGCATTGGCTCTCTATGGTAGGACTGTTTCTGCTAGTTTCTGAAGTCGCTTCAGGATGACCCTAGCGAAAGCTTTTCCAGTGATGCTTAGAGTGAGATACCTCTATAGTCGTTGCAACCTCTTTTGTCCCCTTTTTCCCCTTTGTTTTGTAGAGTGTGGTGATTTTGGCATCTCTCGTGTCATGTGAAATTTCTGCTTTCATACAACAGGTCTTTGGTAGCTTGTAGAGAATTTTCAGCACTTCAGCAGGAATGTTGTCACTTCCAGCTGCTTTACCGCAAGCGAGTTCATCGATTGCAGAAGAAAGTTCCTCGTCTGTTGGTGTTGCATCAAGTTCTGACATTTCGGAGAGCCGAGGAATGGCCTCATGTAGCCATCTATCAACACGTCGCTCCTCTGAGTATAAGTCTAAATAATGTTTCACCAATCTTTCTATTGTTTCTTCCTGTCTGTCAGCTGTTCACCTGTCGCAGAGAGGTGCCACTTTGTTTGCTGATGGTCCAATAGCAACTCTGAATTTTTCATTTTTTCCCCTGATGTTACCTGTATCGCTTGCCTGTTGGATTTTTTTGCATAATTATGACAATTTGTCCCAGTACTGATTGGCGCACTTTCTGGTTTCTCTTTGAAGGTTTGATTTAGCAGCACGTAGTTGTTGCTTTGTACTTTCTGTTGGATTTGTGTTGTGTTCTATCAGGATCTTACGCTTTTTCTCGAGTAGTTATGCGAATGTTGATGCATTGGCTTCAACCCTCCTTGCAACGTCTTTGTATTCCAAAAGTAATAGACGCAGAATTATAAACTGTACACTATACATGTTAATCAAAGGACTCAGTTTGAACCTTTTCTTTAAATCTAATGTCATGAAAAGGCGATAAAAAGGGGATGGGCGGGAGAAGGGAGGTGGAAGATGTGACGAAGAAGAAAACTAATCAATCCTCTACGGAGCAAGTTCACGCTTACCCGTGTGAAAATAATGCCGCAGAGTATGGCTCCAGTCATGTGACCAACACAGGCAGCGGTGAGAAAAAACGAGGCCATGTCCACGTCTGGAGTTCCGGTGATGATCTGAAGGTCTGGCAGAGCGGGACCGCTCTGACCGCCGTTTAAACCCTGTTGGGTGCAAGGCATTATTAAACATTTATTTCGTCTCGTAATAAGCTTAATACACTAACACGAAAAACAAAGAAAAGAAAATAGATAAACAAGTGTTAATACGAGAGAGAGAGAGAGAGAGAGAGAGAGAGAGAGAGAGAGAGAGAGAGAGAGAGAGAGAGAGAGAGAGAGAGAGACAGAGAGTGAGAGACAGAGAGAGAGACAGAGAGAGAGAGAGAGAGACAGACAGAGAGAGAGAGAGAGAGAGAGAGAGAGAG